AGATCCTTGTCACATTATATACATAAATTCAATTAATTCAGTTCTTGCTATCGAGAATAAGGTAAGCTCACAAAAAAACTGAAAGTTCCTAGTAAATACCTTTGTAATTTACTTATTTAACAACAGTTTTTTTCTTTTTCTTCTTTTTTAATAAGGTTAGTGAAGTGAAGCAGTGGGAGTGGAGAAGGAACTAAGAAATCTGTAACTGGCTGTGATCAATTAGTTGTAAACACCACTGCACTCGGACAAGCCTAATTACAGTTTCTAACAGTCTTACCAGAATAAGTAACTGCTGTGGTACTATAAGTAGCACTCTGAGTATAGGACGGCACCACAGTAGCCGCAGCTGCTACCGGTTGTACAGTGGAGGACACAGGATAAATGGAGAAAGTAGTGGTAGCGGGACTTGGTGTGGCTGGTTTTATGGCTGTCACTTGTCGAGTTTGCTGGGCTTGAGTATACTGAGTTGCACCTTGGCTGTAACCTGCTTTGGGAGCTAAAGCCAAAAAAAGAAAAAGAAGAAGAAAAAGATGTCAAAATGAGTAAGGTGAGTCACTGTACTTTTTGTAACAATATACTTAAAAACTAAAATGAGAAGGTGGCTAGCAATGCTATTAATTTCTCACTGGCAAAAAGAGATAAAACTTCCATGTATTTCTAAAATGGTATTTTGGAAAACTTTACAATTGAAATAGTAGTATAGACAACTGGTAGATTAAACAAAAAGCATGTGCACACGCACACAATGCATGTGGTTTTAGGTTAGTCAGTCTACTTCAGTTTGGGCTTAATGTTGGGAACAGAAAAAGCACCTCAAACAGGTATTTCAATAGCAACTGTAGGGAATTTCCTTCTGTCTTGCTTTTGAAATCCAGTGTTTTGTTGTATTGTTTTGCTTTATTCCTGTATCTGGTAACCTGAGTAAATGTTTTGAAGACAACAATATGCAATATAACAATCATTGTAAAATTCCTATCATTGTGTTTTGAAATCCTATATTGCTATTGTTTTTTATTTTTTTTTGGTTTGCTTCTTGATTTTCCTGTTTTCTTAAAAACAAAACAAAAACAAAACCCCAACCAGGTATTTCAATCCATATTAAAATTTCCAATATTTAATGCTATAGAACTTGTTAATATATTGTTCATTGCATTTTACTGACTTAACCATAGTGAATAATCTAACTGTAATTTACAGGTGCTATTAATTCTAACATTAATAGCTTGATCATAACTACTTGCTTCTGTGGTACCAGGGACTAAACCTATGGCCACATGCAGGGTAAGCAATCACTATACCACTGAATTATGTATCTTTGGTCCCAGAATGCAGTTCTTAAATGACTGCTGTCAATGATTCTGCTAAACTTTCTGCTGCCTTTCACCAAATTTAAAACAATATATAGTTCAAAGAATTTTATGAGCCTTATAGTCAATTAATAAATTAATAATTGCTTATTTATCATCACTAAAGCACAGGCTACTTCTGAGAATATCAGAAGTACAAACTTATTTTACGCCTAGTTAAGATACCTTAAAATTTTTACCTGTATCTGTTCATGAAATTTGAGCACAACACACAAATAAAGACATTATTTTACAGAGAGGAAACTGATATCCAAGATTAAATGACTTAAAGTCAGTGTCAGAACTTGTGACTAAATCAGTAAATTCTGACTGTTAGGTAATTCAGCACTCTTATTAAACAGAAGCCTAGGCTACTACTTAGGAGGTTCACTGTGGAGTGATTATACACACAAACGAATGAAGAAGAAACCAAAAAAGGTCAGTCATTATCATTCAAAATAAAACAGCTCCTAAAACCACAGAACTAGAAATGACCTACAGAGATTTGGGTTAACTACTTCATTTATGGAAAAAAGAACAGAGGAAATTAAAAAACAAAAAAAGCCATTTGCCCACATTAGTGGTAAAGCCAGTTCTGGAAGCCAATTCCATTCTCTTTTATAATTCAATACTGTACCCACAACCTTGGGTTTTCAAAAATAATTAAGGGAGACAATTACTTTTTATATCTTAGATACCTTTATTTTAAAAGTTCTCAATTAGGGGCTGAGTGTAGCGTCCCACACCCATAATCCTAGCACTTGGAAGGCTGAGTCGGGGGATCATTATGAGTTCGAAGCCAAGCCTGGGCTACAAAGTAAGTCCAGCCTGACCTAATAATAAAATGCTGTCTCAAAAAGCCAAAAAAGTTCTCAATTAAATCTTTTTTTTTTTTTTTTTTGGTCTTTTTCGTTTTTATCGGTACTGGGGATCGAACTCACGACTGCCTGCTTGCAAGGCAGGCGCTTATGCTGCTGAGCTAAATCCCCAGCCCCCCTCAATTAAATCTTTGTGAAAAATGTACCTTTTAAAGACTATATATATGAAAGCTTCTTTGTAAATCAAACGCTTTCAGCATTTAAAGATGAGTAAAAAATGCTGGCCATTAAAGAAGACACCACTAGTAACAAAGACAGTCAACAATATATAATGTTCTGAGAATTTTGGGCAAAGAAAAGAATGTGTTCAGAAGTTATTGCTATAGCTTCTTTTCTACAGTTACAGGTTATTCCAGCAAAAAGATAACTCTATACTAAAGACAACAAATGGAGTACATTTCCAACAGAAAATGGTTTGATTGTGAATGCTTCTATAAACTATTTCTTTGTGATTCAAAAAGAATTACATATAGTTGAACAGTATGGGAAGAACCTACCTTTCAACATAGTGGCCACGCCTGACCTGAGACAGACTCTCTTACCAAATGTGCTGCCCTCCCCAAACAGAACAAGATAGATGGCCATAAAAAAAGTTTAGGATGGGACATATAATCTCTCCAGCACCAGGAAATCTAGTATTACCTACACATCTGCACTGACTGGCCTGGAAACTTTGACCCCAAACATTCCACAAATTCCCAAATCCTATAAAACCTTTAACTTCTCTGGTAAGCTGCTGAAATCATCCACCATCTCAGCCTGTCTGCCAGACAGGATAAATTCAGCTTTTGTTCACATAAAGCCTGTGCCTGGATGGTTTCTCATGTACCACTGATAATAATGTATATAACAATGATTTTAGATAAACTTGGAAGCGTATCTTCATTATAAAATACCTTAAAACTGGGCACGGCAGCACAATGCCTGTGAACACACTCTGGAAAGCTGAGGCAGAAGGATGGAAAGTTCAAGCTCAACACGATATCAACTGACTTAGAATGATATAATAAAACATAAATGAATACAGACATAAACAACTTAAGAGGGCTGAGGAAATAACTCAATTCAAACACTCTCTGTTTATTTCCCAGCGCAAAAAACAAAACACCCTGAATCAACAGTTTATAATAAAAATGTGTGTGTTGAAACCTACCTGTCTGGTAGTAGGTTTCTGCAACTGAAGGTTGAGGTTGGGCAGCGGCAGCCACAGCAGCAGCAGTTGCTGCTGGTTGTTGGTAGTACTGCTTACTGTCATAAGCTACAGCAGGAGCTGTGGATCTTACATATGAGTATGAGTCCTAAGAAAAAGGAAGGAAAGAAACTTTACTGTTGGTGGGGGTAAAAAAAATTCTACATTCACAAAAATAATAAAGGAAAACAACTTAAAAGTGTTCTCAGACCTAGATGAAAGATTCATTCAGTTCTAAAGAGATTCATTTTAGACTATATCAAATAAAATAAAAAAGCATGTCAAGCAATATATTTAACTTCTACAATCAATAATCTTCCAAACAGTTAAAAGTATTCCTGTACAATTTAGTTTTATTTAAAAGTTCACAGCTATTTTACATTAAAGATAGATAATACAGAATCAAAAGAAAACACCACTGGGGCTAGGAGTATAGCTTAGTGGTAAAACCCAGGCCTACTATAGGGAGCTCTCCATTTGGATCCCTAGCAAAACCAAACCAAACCAAACCAGTTCCCCAAAAACACTTGTGCTACTACACTTTGTGATTACTCCTATTTTTTTCACTATTTTTAAGAATTCAGTGAGTTTTGATAAAGTAAGGAGGGATGAGAAGGGACTTAAGTAAAAAGGCTGAAGAGGTAGATAAAACTCAGAAATAATGGTTTTTTTTTTTTTTTTTTTTTGTCTTTTTCCTTTTTATCGGTACCGGGGATCGAACTCACGACTGCCTGCTTGCAAGGCAGGCGCTTATGCAGCTGAGCTAAATCCCCAGCCCCTAAAATAATAGGTTTTATAGACCTTATTTAAAAAAATAAAATGAAACAACCACCAACATCAAAAGAACTCCAAACTTAGTACTCTAGTATCAAATACTAATCTTTTGATTTACATTTCAAGTTTTTAATTCACAAGGTGCCTAGGTTTTAGAGACTGTGAAAATTGGATAAAGTTCAAAAGGATCAAATTTTAAAAGACAAAAATAGGTCAAGGAAATTAGGACCAAACTTAAATAAGGGGTAAAAGCTATTTTTTTCAAACTTCACACCATAATGAGAACTTACAGTTTCTATAAGACCAAAATATATAAATGGATAAGAGCATTAAAAGTTTTTGTTACATATAAAACTACTGTGACAGTATAAATGTGCAGGCATCTTTGACAAGTTTCAGGAAGAAAATGTCATAGATTTGTCCTAATAGCTTGGGCTTAAGACCCTGAAAATAACATGGATCTATGCTTCAAATGAATACACAGTTCACTCTACCAAAGGTCAAAAACTCAAGAGTAAAATTAACATATTCAACCAAACTCATATAAAACTTTTAAAAACCAAAGCAAAAGACTTATATACACAAATAGGGCAAAATGGCAAGGAAGAATTCCATAAAATTCATTTTAAGGAAACTTAGTACTTGGGGACTGTGTCTCCCCCCCTCCAAAAAAATACAAAGACCCATTCATAATCTCTATCATTAGAGGTATTTTTCTTTTTTTTTAAACCATTGGTACTGGGGATTGAACTCATGACCGTGTGCTTGCAAGGTGGGTGCTTATGCCACTGAACTAAATCCCCAGCTCCTGGGTTTCTTTTCTTTTTCTTTCCTTTTTTTTTTTTTTTTTTTTTTTTTTTTGCGTTTTGAGACAGCATTTCACTAAATTATACTGGGTTGGGCTTGAATTTGTTATAATCTTGGGGGTCTCAGCCTCCTAAGTAACTGGGAAACTGGGATTTACATTTATGTAATACCTTGCTTCGGTTACAGATTTATTTATTTTTCAAACTTTTAAGTTTATTGGTACATTTAGATAAACATAATGACCATATTCATCATAGGGATTTTGTACCTGTACATGATATTTTGATTGTCTTTTCCCAATCCCCTTTCTTCCCTTCAACCCCTCTTCCTCTATTGACACAGTTTTGTTTTCACTTATCCTTTTCTGTTTTCTTTAAGATACAAAGTCTCACTATGTGACACCTAGCCTTGAACTCAAAGCAATGTTGCTGCCTCAGTCTACTGAGTGCTGGCACTATATAGGCAGATGCTCCACACCTATTCTTTTATTAATTTTTTCCTTTTCCCTTTCTCCTCCCTAGTTCCTCTTTCCTTTTGAACAATTTCTTCTCATTTCACAATATTATTGTATAGTTTGGTCCTTATTTACTCTTTCAGTTTTTTACACCAGAGAGACAAGGCATATTTATACATTTGAGTAAGGGTATGGTCTCAAATTATACCCATTTACCTAGAAATATCTCAAGTTTATCCTTCTTTTTCTTCCTTTTTTTTTCTTTTGTACCAGGAATGAAATTCATGATCTCACGCTTGCCAGGCTGGCATTCTGTCGCTGAACTATACTATACCCCCAGCAAGTTTATCCTTCTTTATGGCCAAGTAGCGTTCCATCATATAAAAATACCATCTTTTTTATCCATTCCATGACTGATGGACATCTGGGTTGCTTCCAAGATTTCGCTATTACAAACTCTGCTGCTATAAACATAGGTGCACATCTATTGCAGTGGTTATATTTTTAGTTCTTTTGGGAAAATACCCAGAAGGGGAACAGCTGGGTCAAACAGGACCTCTAATCCTAGTTTTTTGAGGAATCTCCTCAGTGAGTTGCTCCCTGAGCTCCCTGCTCCCAGTTTATATTCCCATCAACAATGGGGAAGGCTTCCTTTTCCCCACAGCCCCTCCAGCGTGTTATTGGTTGATCTCTCGAATAACCAGTGATGTTCAACACTTCTTTATGCATTTATTTGTTGCTTGTGGTTCTTCATCTGAGAAGTAAATATTCATCTCAGATGCCCACTTGTGGACTGGATCTTTAGATTTGGGGGGGGGTGTCTGATTTTTTTCAATTCTTTACTTGTTCTGGATGTAAGCCCTGTGTCGAAGGGACAATTGGCTAAAATATTTTCCCACTCTGCAAATTGTCTTTTCACTCTGGTGGTGATTTCTTTAGCTATGCAAAAGCTTTTTAATAAGATGACCCCAGGTTTGATTCTTTATATAATTTCTCACTCAGCTGGGGCTTTGTTCATGAAATCTTTGCTTACACATATGCCTTCAAGCATTCTGCCTATTCTCTATTCCAGCTGACTCAGTGTTTCTGTTTTAATATTTAGGTCTTTTGATCCATTTTGATTTTAGTTTAGTACATGGTGATAGACATGGGTCTGGTTTTAATCTGTGGCAAGCAGAAAGCCAGTTTTTTCCAGCATCATTTATTAAAGAGCCCATCTTCCTTCCAGTGAAGGTATTTGGCTATTTTGTCAAAGATTAAGGGGCTAAAACAAAACAAAACAAAAGATTAAGGGGTTAAGTGTGCTTATAGAGTTGTTTCTGAATCTTCTGTTCCATTGATCCTCAGGTCTTTTGTTTTGTTTTTAATTTGTCAATACTATGCTATTTTTAATTCCAGTAGCTCTGAAGCATAATTTCAAGTCAGGGATTGTGCTAACTCCCACCTTGCCTTTGTTGGTGAGAGCTGTTAAGCCTCTTCTGGTTCCAAATGGCTTTACAAGTCAGGGATTGTGCTAACTCCCACCTTGCCTTTGTTGGTGAGAGCTGTTAAGCCTCTTCTGGTTCCAAATGGCTTTTAGGAATGTTTTCTCTAATTCTGTGAGGTATGCTAGTAAATCTTGATTGGGATTACATTAAATCTGTGTAACAATTTTGGGAGTATGGCCATTTTCACTATGTTGGTGCTTCCTATCCATGAGCAGGGGTTATCTTTACATTGTCTGATGTCCTCTTCAATCACCTTATTCAGAGTAATTTTCAATGTAATACTACACTATATCAAGAGAGCCAAAGACAAAAATCACATGATCATCTCAACAGATGCAGAAAAAGCATTTGACAAAGTTCAACACCCATTCATTTAAAAAAAAAAAATCCTATATAGAAAACTGCATAGATGGGTCTTCACCTAAATCTAAAAAATGCCATCTATGACTAACCAACAGCCAACATCATATTAAATGGTCAACAATTTAAAACTTTCACTCTAAAAATCAGGAACTCTATTGAATATAGTTCTGGAAACATTAGCCAGAGCAATTAGACAAGAAAAAGAAAGTAAAGGAGTAAGGATGGGAAAGAAAATAGGAGATCCCAAAACCTACATCAAAAGACTTGTAGATTTAATAACCAAATTTAGCTGGATACAAAGATTAACACTTGCAAATCAACAGTATTCCTGTACACCAACAACAAACTCACTAAAAGAGAAGTTAGGGGAACCACATCCTTCACAATAGCATAATACCAAAAAAAGAAATACTTAGGAATCAGGGGCTGGGGATTTAGCTCAGCGGCATAAGCACCTGCCTTGCAAGCAGGCGGTCATGAGTTTGACCCCCGGTACCAATAAAAAGAAAAATAGACAACAAACAAACAAACAAACAAAAAACAAATACTTAGGACTCAATCTACAAACATACTTTAGAAGAGTCAAGATTGAAAAGCATTGGCACAAGCATTATATTATACATTGAGAGTCCACCAAACTTACAAATAAAGGCTATTGAGACTAGTTTTTTTACCTGGTAATTCTGTGTAGTAGCTGGAGGTGGTGGTGGTGGTGCTTCTTGTTGTCTCTGGGTATAACCATAGTCAGTTGCTGAATGTGCAGTGGGGTAGCCTCCATAGGCAGCGGCTGTTGCAGCAGCTGCAACTGCTACTGGAGCGGGTCTGGCAACTGCAACTGTGGCGGCTGCTGGTGCATAGGCAGCAGTAACTGTGTGGGCGGCTACTGGAGCCTGATGGACAGTGTAGCTAGCAACTGTAGTTGGATGAGAATAGGCTACACCCGAAGCTGGCTGCTGGCTATATTGTAAAGTAGAAGAATACAATAAAACAATTTTAAAATCAAGGAGTTAATTAACTTAAAATTATTTAACAAACTAAAATACGTCTGCAAATAATGTAATCATGGACACAAAAGACCAAGTATTTGAAGTGAAGAAAACTTTTAATCTTCATTTCTTAATCGCAATAATTTAGATCACTGATTAGGTTGCAAAGCATGAAGAACAAATTAAAACAAGAGGGGCAAAATGATCAAATTAAATTTCAAAGCATTTGTTGTAAATTTTTATAATTTACCTTTTAAAATCGTAACCAAAAAAATCTTATTTTAATCCATTTACAAAAAATTTAAGGCAAAACTATCAGCTAGTTGACTTAAGGTGCATTTTTATCGTTCCACATCAGTGGTTCAATTAAGGGAGATTTTTTTTTTTAATCTGCATGGGACATTTGGCCACATTTATAGTTTTCATTATTTTGTCTGAGGATTGAACTGGGGCCTGGGCATGCCAAAGCACACCCTGCCTGAGTTATACCTCCAGTCATGGACATATGTTTGATGATCAAACTGTAGGGAAGGTAATGGTAATGTGCTACTGGTATTTAGTGGATAGAGGTCAGGGATATTGCCAGTCATTTACAGGACCTCTTACACACAAATAATTACAGTTTATAAACAGTACTGAAGTTGAACAGTTCTGTTCTAGGGCAGAATGAACAAAGTAGTATTATTTTAGATAGCATTTCCAGCTTGTAGGTATTTAAAATTTATTAGCTGGGCAATGTGGTGCATGCCTGTAATCCCAGCACTTCTGAGGCTGAGGTGGGATTGTTGAGTTTGAGATTAACCTGGGCTACAGTAAGCTCAAGGCCAGGCTGAACTGCAACTGCAGTGAGATTCTGTTTCCAAATAAATAAAATAAACATCTTTTAAAAAAGTAACAGCACAAGAAAATAAAATGATTGCTGTTGTAAAAGAAGAACTAAATCAGATGCTTTGCAACCACTACCATTTAAACCTCAAAAGTAAAAACATTTTAAATAATAGTAATCAATTTTGTACCTTAAATTCTCAGAACTACATTGTTTGAACATTTTTAAAACTCTTTTTGAAAAAGCAACCACTTTATCTACTCTGTTCAGAATAATGCAGAGTAGATTGTAGGTCCTTCCAAGCCCACACTGCCCAAAAGATAAATCATGAGTAGATTTACAGGACCTCCAGAAAAAAGCTTTTTTTGAATAGAGCCTGTGTTGCAGCACATGGGGGTTTGTACACCAAAGGAACCTTCTTAAACCAATCTCCCACTTTTTTGGGGGTACAAGGAATCAAACTCAAGACCTAGCACTTGCCAGGCAGGTGCTGTGCCACTTAGCTATATCCCTGGGCCCCCATTTTAACTTTTAAATCAAGAGTCTATGTCACATAAAACTAAAGCCCTATAGGTATTAGCATATAACAGTACATTTATTAAGGTTCTGTGATACCATTGCTAAGGCTATATTACTATGGCAATAATGCTTTCCAAAACAAAGAAGAGCCCCAACAGTTATTCAGCTGGCAAACAAAAATGATTTTTGGTACTGGGTATTGAACTCACAACTCTATGCTTGTCAGGCAGGCGCTCATGCTACTCATCTATATTCCTGACCTTGGCTGGCAAATTTATCACAAGTTTAAATATGAGCTGATAGTTAAGAATAGCTAAGAGAAAAAAAAAAAACAGAACTGACATAAGCTGAAGCAACATCAATAAATTAGAATATCTGATTTATGAATTACAGTGCAGAGCATTCTGTACTTAAGTGTGCACAATATCATAGAAATACAGGATACAATTAAAATTTTAGATCATCATTTTAATTGTATTATGAAAGACATTGATAAACTAGCATGCATTCAGAAGGAATCAAAATGAAGCTTATAGATAAAGGTTTTATTTCACATTAAAGTGTAGGGCCTGAGGAAATTTAGTCTAGAAAAGGTGATAGCTGCCTTCTAACAGAAGACACTTACTCCATGCTGCTCCAGAGAACAGAACTAGAACCAACAGATGGAAGTTACAGGGTGGCAGATTTCAGTCCAATATGAAAAAGAAAACAAAAAACAAAAAACAAAAACAAAAAACTTAGAATCCAAGGAATGGAATTCAAAGAAACTCTTAAGTTCTATTTGGATGAGGTTTCCACATTTTTGATACCAAAGTAGCCAACATTTTCTACATATATACCAATAATGAAGAGAGAAAAGGGGAAGTTTACATTTTAATAGAAGGAAATTTTCCAGTAACATTTTCCTATGGACAATCCCATTTTCTTTTTTTTTTTTTTGGGGGGGCGGGGAATCAAACTCACGACCACATACTTGCAAGGAAGGCAGGCGCTTATGCTGCTGAGCTAAATCCCCAGCCCCATTCCCACTTTCTTAAGAAAACATGTCAATAACAAGTTACACTCCTGAGTAATTCTTAGATCCCAGAAAAGGAACTATGTCTAAAACATACATACATACAAATACAAGGTCTGCAAAACTTGTAGTAAACATTTAAATAACATTAAGATTTCACATATTCAGACTACATATTTAATTATGTAAAAATTCAGTCTTGGGTTCTTACACAGTTGTCCCTTTGCATTTATAGATGACTGGTTCCTTGACTCCCCAGGGACAACTCCAAAGATGCTCAATTCTTTTATATAAAATGGTACAGTATCTGTTCATAACCTATATGCATTCTCTAGTATACAGTAAATCATCTCTAGGTTACTTACAGTGGTTATATAATGTCAATACTATATAAATGATTATGGACTGTTCAGGTAAAGAAAAAAAAGCATGCAAAACTTTAGAACAGATGCACTTTTTTTCAGAGTATTTTCCATCATTCTACTGTTTCTTCTCCTGTCTATGTCCTTGTTTCTTGTGCTCTAATACTTGTTTCAGATTAAAAAACAGGTAGATATAGACTGGAAGTGTCAAGTCAACTAAGCAGGCAATAATATCATTTATATGGTTTATAATCCTAACCATGATCTATATGATACAGGAAGACCATATGATCTGGTTTATGCCTGCTGTCCCACTGCAACAGTATTATTAACAGTATTTTTTTCTTGGTTTGAACATTAAGTTATATAAATCACCTTTGCAGGAGCCTTAAAAAATATGCTAGTATAATTAGCAGCTACTGTATATACATCTTTAGCATTATTTAACCGAACTGTGCATCCATAGTCAGTTTTCCACTCATCACTTGGGACTAAAACCTTAATCTCTACACCGAAGCATTAAGAGGAATGATAATTCAGTGCCAATTAACTGGGCCAACGTCTGGGGAAGCTGACTGCTGTTTAAAAAAATGATTCTCTGGTTGGTTATCCTAAGCCACCTGAAAAACTCTCCATTCCAAATATCCTTAGATAAGTGATATATACACAGATGATATTATATATAGATGAACAGATAAGCAAGTCAATTGGAAATATCCAGTGGCTAAATAAATTTAATTTTTTACAATTCAGGTCAAGGGATAAATGGTGTAAACTCAATGATAGAGTACTAGCTTAGCATTACATAAATACGAAGCTCTGAGTAGGATCCTCAGCACTGGGGGAAAGGCAGTGGTGGAAAGAAAAGAAAACAAACTCGGGTCAAATTAATTTCAAATCAGTTCGTGCAAAATAGTCATAGTTCAAACAGCTCAAATCAAAGCTTTTGTCTAGTTAGGAATATTAACATATAAACAGTATAAATTATCTCATTAAAACAGGGTATGAAGTAAATAAAAATCCAACTTATGCTATAAAAATATATTTGTGAAATATGAAAAGACTAAATTTCTAAGCATTTGATAGAGCAAAAGCTATTTGGATAACTTTTTTGGGGATAATCTTTGTAAATCTAATCAGTTTTAAACTGAGACAAGTTAAATAATAAATCTTCAAACAAACTCTAAGAAATAATTTATGAAACAAAGGTTTGGCAATATTTCAAGAATCAGACATAAAAAGATTACTTCTTTTGATAAAAAAAAATGGAAAAGAAGCTATCTTAAGAATTATGGATCTTTCTAGGCAGCCTTATTGCTTTTTGTTTTTTGAGCCAGGTTCTTACTTTATAGTTAAGTGGCCTTGAACCTTTGGTGATTCTCTGAGTGCTGAGATTACAAGAATGTGCCACAATGCACAGCTTAAAGACAACCAAAAAGCCAAGTATTTTTTAAAAGCCTACTATAAACTGCAAAATAAATAAAAATGACTCTGTGGGTAAGAAGTATCTCAAGATAATGGACAAGAATAAAAAAAAAAACCCACTAACTTTATACTAGTTAGAAGTCTAAGAGGCTAGCAATATCCAGCAAGAAAGAATTCTAGAGGGGAAAAGCAAAATAATTCAGAAAATATTTCACTCCTTAAGGAAAGCAAATTTTCCAAATTAAATGGTCTTACAAAGTACAAAACAGAATGAAAGAATCATGCTTAAAGTGTTTTACATCTCACCAAGAAAAGATCCTTCAATTCTCCAGAAGAAAAAAACCTGGTCACCTACAACAAAATGAAACACTTCTAACTGATAGAGAATGGTGTTGTATCTTTAAAATTCAAGGGAAAATTGTTAAGTGGTCTAAATACGGGAGATATTTTTTATACATTCAAGGAGTGGAGTTTACCTCCTATACACCTTTTCTTAAGACATTTTATGAAGACATACTCCAGGACACAAAAAG